AGCAAACAAGATTTTTCTATATACCCTTGAATTGGCAGTAGGCCCAGGGTATCTAGAACCACAGGAGAAGCAGTGCGTTTAGGCAGACCTTGTACCTTTCTACAGAAATAACTTTGTGTTAACTCCAACACGTCCAATTCTTTTGACGTTAAGCTGCTCCAAACAGTACAACCATATAAAGCACATGGTAAAATGACATTGTTCCATATACGACAAGCACAAATAGGATTGAGTGAACCATAGCACAAGCCAAGGTCATGATACATATTAACCAGTTTACGTGCTTTTTCACATGATGACATTGTTCTATCATACGATTTATTACATGAAGACAACTGAACTCCAGCGTACGTAACAGATTGCATGAGAGGGATGGCCACAGAACCAAGATACAGACTAACTGGTGTAAGATATCTGTCTGTATTGAATACAAGCAAGGCACTTTTACTGACGTTATACTTCAATTTCCACTTCAAACCATAATCGTACACAGCTTCTAGAAGAGTCTGAGAATTATGTGGATTGCTGGAGGTTAAAGTAGTATCATCAGCAAGAAGAATACCTGGACAGTGTCCCCATGGAAGCTGGATACCTAGACCCGACTTATCTAAACTCTGCATTAGATCGTTGATGTACAGGCTGAATAGCCAAGCGGAAATGACTCGCCCCTGTCCTACACCTTGACTGATTCTAAAGCTATCAGACAGGAAACCAGCATAGGAAACACATGATTGCATGGACAAGTATGACATTCGAAGCAGTCTCCAGATTTTACCTCTTATACCGAGATTATACAGTTTGAGAAACAATCCATCCAACCAAACTCGGTCAAAGGCCTTCTCATTATCGAGAAATACACAAAACACTGGGGATTTTCTTTCTCTATAGTAATGCGTGTATGCATGTTTGTGTGTATGTGTGTGTATGTATGTATGTATGTATATATGTATGTGTGTATGTATGTATGTATGTATGTATGTATGTATGTATGTATGTATGTATGTATGTGCATGTGTGTGTGCATGCATACATGCATGCATGTATGTATGTGTGTGTATGTATGTATGTATGTGTTTGCGCATGTATGTATGTGTGTGTATGTATGTATATGTGTGTGTGTATGTATGTATGCATATATGTGTGTGTATATGTATGTATGTATGTGTGTATGTATGTGTATGTATGTATGCGTGTATGCATGTGTGTGTGTGTACGTGTGTGTACGTGTGTATGTATGTATGTATGTATGTATGTGTGTGTGTGTATGTATGTATGTATGTATGTATGTTTGAATGGCCGGCGTGAAACACACTATCACTTCCCTTTGAATCATACAATAGGCAGGTATATGCATGATTGAAGTGAACATTACTAAATATGCAATTGAAACGGAATAATGGATTGCTAACACATAGATTTGAAAATTATCATATCATGTAAAATACACATACACACGCAGACACACACACACCGCAAAAATACATGTATATATCTATCCATTTCTGTCTAATAAAGCATGTACCTATCATGGCCATATGTTGTGATATACATGTACAATATCTATCTATCCACCTCTCTCTGTGTCTCTGTCCTGCGAGGGGCGGTGGGGTAGCCTAATGGTTAAAGCGTTGGCTCGTCACGCCGAAGACCCGGGTTCGAATCCCCACATGGGCACAATGTGTGAAGCCCATTTCTGGTGTCCCCTGCCGTGATGTTGCTGGAATATTGCTAAAAGCGGCGTAAAACCAAACTCAGTCAGTCAGTCAGTCAGTCTGTCCTGCGACGATACGTAAGTCCTCAAACCTTCAAAGTACTTTTCAAGTTTTGCACATATTACCAGACAACATGACACGTTACAGTTCATTGTTTATTTCATATGCATCTACATTTGCAAAACCTTCTTGGTATCTTCATTTATAATTTTCTTTTATACGTTACCAAGTACCAGCCACAATGAACGGGCATAGGGAAGAAGACATGGCTTACTTCCTTCCACGTAGTCTGTCGTATGTTCAGGATGGCTACGTGGACGAATATAGTGTCAGCTCGGCATTCGTCCAGAACCCCCGAGAATCCCGTCAACCCAGGAAAGATCGCAGCTAATTTATTCGTCTTTTCGAAGCGATGGTTGAAGAGGGGAAGCCATTTATAAACAGGAAATCGAGGTAAATGGGTCTTCGGCGAGCCGGAAGGAAAAACAATTTGTGTGTGAGACGAATACTCCCAGGAGAGCTACAGAGAGTGGACATGAAGTAGACGACTACAACATTAGGATAGAAGCTTTTCTCAAATTTATGCCTTCAAAAGGTCCTGTGTACAAAGATACAAAACGTAAAGTTTCAAGCAGTGAGTTAAGAAAATCATCGTCTCTTAAGACCAACAAAACTTCCTCCCCGGGACACCAGGGACCAAAAGAAAGTTGTTCGTTTGGCGGACGCAATGGGTTTAGATCTGAATTTTGTGCGAAACATTGGCAACGTTGACATCCCGCCCAAAGTACCAGCGTCTGCCCTGAACTCTTGCGATGGACCAACGGACAGATTCTCCTTCAGCATTGTGGCGCCTGCAGTCTTTGATGTAGGATTCAGGTTGGAATTTGCCATCGCCCATTCCACCAGCTGTACAGTGTTCTGGGACAACAATGGTAGCATGAACTATGCATTTGAATGTTTTGCAAAGACAGTCCCTACGGAAGCAGAGAATACGTGGATGTCTTTTTTGTAAGGGGTAAACAGCATTTGTTTTTCAATGTAGTTGAGGCGTGTCACTATACATTGATCGTTGTTAGATTCCCAGATGATGATCTTTGGTTTGTCAGCACTCTTCCCGTGGGTCTTAACAAGGGTAAACGATTTAAGACCCTTTGCTACTTCGGGCTTTCCTCTTCCAGTTGCCTGACAAAACGGTAATGGGCAATCGGTCAAAACCCCAGCTCTATATGCAATGTCATAACGACATAGAAATAGTGTTGCTTTTAAATGGTCTGTGTACTACAAACATAAATTTTGTTTGAGGAGAGTGTGTATGTTCATAAAAAAACCCATTGAATTGACATACGCTTAATACAAGATTAGATCATTAGTGGTCTATTGGTTTATCTATCATCGTTTATCTAATTTCACTTTAAGCTCATCAAGGTTATGTCATGACATGTTCGTCCAACGTTCGTTGTTTATCGTAAACGTGTTTGCCTCAGATTCCTAAGGACAATGCAGCTGAGACGTGATTGATTTTGTTCGCCATAACCGTGATATTTGTGAAAATGATAATGCTTAGACAGAGCTGAACGTATAGGAATAGATACTAGTGTGTTCATCAATTAGTAGCAAAGAATGAACAAACAAATATCAAACTGCAATGTATGGAAACTTATAGCGATGTTGACACGCCTCTATCATCTCGCGTTACATCAAGGTCAGCGGTTGTGTAAAGATAATCGTTGTATCTTGAATATCAAGTAAGGGCATTTTGGAGGCTTGGTCATAGTAGATACTTGACAAATTGAAATCGACACACTAAGCACACATATGTCTTGCATCTGTGTGTAACCAGGATAGTTGCAGCTGTGTATATCCACGATAGTTGCAGCTATGTGTGATCCCGATAGTTGCAGCTGTGTGTGACCACAGGGGCTAGTGGGTTCTTAGTTAGTGGCTTATTTGTATTTCTTCAACTGCCGACAGGATAAGTTTAAACAGTATGCTGTATGTCCATGTACTCTCCACTTGGAGTCGTCGTAAATTGTCATATTTGTTATTCATTTATTTCATACTTGGTATCACACCGTTTAAATATGTTCAGACCATTCACCATTGAACCACAACTGTTTCTCTGTCTTTTTTTCACTGGAATTTCTTGAAATGTCTTTTCAATCTTTTAATTCTAAATTATAAAACACTGGCAGCAGCTATCTCTCTGGTTATAAAGTCATTCCCTGTCTCTGGTTGCACATCGTCGTTTCAAGCATTCTCCCAGTTTAATGTAGTGTTGAGCCTTTAGCATTTCATACACTTGAACCTGTCCAGCCACTTAGGTCTGTTTCAGAGCTTCACATTGATTGCACCATCCCTGTGTGGCTGGCCTAAACCGTCAAGTTGATATAGAACCTCCCTGGCAAGCACACCACATTACACTGGCAACATGTCTCCGATAGTATCTGTACTGTCTCATCAGTCCGTGTCAAAACGACGAACATCCCGAACACGTTGCTCAATGTTCTTAAAAACAACTGGAACGGCATGAGTGGTTCCTGAAACGTATTTCCATCAATGGGTGAGTGTATGTTTACATGTATCATCTGTAACCAAATACAAGTTTAAATGGACCTATTTCTCAACTAATGCGTACTATGTAACATTCACCATAACAAGTAACGCATTTTTGTGATCATGAAGCTGAACCGTAATGAATGTCATCGCTACAATGGTCACAGAAGCACACCATATAAACATTACATTGCGTGACTCTATTAAAGTCAAGGACCAATGATTTGTTTTGCTGCATGAATGGCTGGACATGGTAACATCATGACAAGGCAATGAAAAGCTGAACGGAGAGGATCAAACCACCGGCTCGTCAACGGGGACAACGGTATGTAGTCATAGTTATCACTTTATTACATTGTTTTATTGTGTCTCAATTCCTTGGACAATCTATATATTTGAGAACGTTTGAGGTGTGTCTGATGTTTTCTTTCAGTATTCTGCAATCCATTGTTAGTATTATCCGATGACCCGGCCCGATTTCCTTGGTCTGGTTTTAGGCATTAGTAGATAAATATTAAGAAGTATCGCACCACATTTGTGGTGCTCTGACGTCATCAGTGAACCTATTGACCTTATGTCAACAAAGGGTTGAATAGGTATTGTCCTTATGCCAACAGGGGGGTTGAATGGGTATTGTCCTTATGCTAACAGTGGGTTGAAAGGTATTGTCCTTATGTCAACAGTGGGTCGAATAACTATCGTAATCGCGACGCACCGTGTGTCAATAATGTATTGAAATCGAAATGGAATGGGTTCTTTGTACACAGGCCGCACCCTGGTCGCCGCTCCTAGATGCCTTTCACTTTTGAGTTGAATGCCTCGTGCACCCGTGTCAATAATCTATTGAAATCGAAATTGAATGGAGGCTTATTTTTGTACAATGACCGCACCCTGGTCGCCACTGCTAGATAGCATTCACTTTTGACTTGAATATCTCTCAGTATTCAGTTCAAGTACAGACAAGACATTGTTCTGTGACACACTTTCATTTTTTCGCCACTATAAAACTGTTAAAGTTGTGATCTCAGTCTCAGATCGATCGCTCCTGCTTCAAACATATACATCGAACGCAGCTCTGCCATCAGATCTACCATCAACGTTAACGCACAGTTCGCTTTTTGAAACTTGTCAGCTCCATCATCAAATATGACGAGTAACTGTTCTCTCAAGCGCTCATCATCAGTAGTAGCTGATGAGGTTAGAGAAAATAAAATGTTCAAACCCTAAGTGATCTCCGTTTTACTTGATGAACTGATGAAGAAGGCTGACTCGGATGGGATCTTGCTTGACAACACATCAAGATGAAAAGTGAGTGACCTGCCGAAAAACGTTTTGATGCAAATCATCTCGCATGAATCCATCAAAGTCAAGGATGCAGACGTCTGGAAAGTTCTTCTGTGTCCAGCCGTGAAGAAGGAATCACTTCCAAAAGAATTCGATGTTCTTTTGAACACGCAGTATTCCGAGGCTCTGGAAACTTCAACCCACATGATCTTCGCTGGACATGAACGTTAAAAAACAATCGGTTATTTAATAAAATCAGATTCTTCCACTGCGTGGAAGATGGGGTAGAAGAAGACGAGCAAGAAAAGTAACTGGTCTGTCAAAGTCAGGATTAAGTGAGTATTAATTTGAATCTAAATATTTTGTGCAACATTTCATTGATAGTTGATAATGAGAACATCAACGTATTGTTTTATATTAAGGTTATTTGTTTTGTTTTTATCTGTCTGTCACAATTCATCTCTCTGTCTATCGCTAACGTTTGTGTGTAAAGCATAATGTTTAATCATATTTTTTGCAAAATGTCATACGGATTGGCGAACAAACTATTAAGCTTATTTGAACATAGCTCTAGTACATCATTTCCAAATGCTGGATACAAAACTATAAACTGATTAAATATAATCTACATACAAATTGTCAGATTGTCGTGTATGTGGTCGTGTATGTCTAGTAATAAAAACGTGTGCTGCAACACGAAATCCGATTATTTTTGGAAGTGCATTAAAATATTGAATGTATAAATACATTGAGTATGTGATGCTCACAGTAGTAGTTTAAACTGTTTGTTGAATAAAGAAAATGTTCCTGGAAAGATCTCTCCTTTTCCATTTAGTAACCAATTCCTTAGTGTAAATATCATTATATACATTATCACCATGGAAAGATCTATATCTCTTCACTGTAGCTTTAACATGTGTTTAGTACCTTGCCCTAATTCCATGTTCTCATATGTTTCCAGCATACACACACAGACAGTGAATACCACCCCTAACAACTCTCAACTGAGGAAGAACAGCGATGAGGCTATCATTCGCGTATCGATTCAGTTACCTATGTGTTTCTCAATAAAAACGTGAAACTTTGATAAACGTTTGTTGTTTACTCATTCACATGAAACAATTGTGAATGTGTGTCTTACATCTCATGGTTAGGACTATGAAACTCTGGATGCTTTTACAAAAAACAGTTACGAATAACTTTATGATTATGATAATCTCACTTTTCTATATATTAATACTAACTTAGGATCATATTAATCTTATGACTAATCGCAGCTGTTTTGAGAAAGCATGTCTTCACTTATGAAAGAGTCCATGTTCATCCTACGCACGTTGACAATCTGTGCTCTTTGCCCTGTGTATGTCAGGAGGACATCCCAAGCAAATATGTTGAGATGAATCAACACAGCTAGACGACACACATGTTATGGTTGAAATCGCTTACAATCTTACAATCGCTTCTGTGAGCGTAGTGCATGTTATAAAAATATCCCAACTGAGCGTCTCTTAAAAACTATCTGACCTACATTGAACAATAGCACAGTTTGTACTTCGTTCAAATATGTTGGAGCAAATACTGAGATGGCTTCTTACAAACTACCGTATTTCCCCGAATACAACCCAGAATCTAGTTTTCTTACAGTTACTCCACTCTACGATCACAAACGATATTCAGGTTGTATTGAAGGAAATACGACAAGAAGGTAATATAGAACAAACTTTATGGATAACAACTTCTTTTTATTCGTGAGTGCGACGTTTCGATACAGATTCTTGTACCACCATTGACGCTGGGTGGTGGTACAAGAATCTGTATCGAAACCGTAGTCAAGCATAAAGCATTATGCTTGACAACGGTACAAGAATCTGTATCGAAACGTCGCACTCACGAATAAAAAGAAGTTGTTATCCGTAAAGTTTGTTCTATATTGTACTTTCCAACTTCTAAAATGCCACTCAAAGAAGTTAAAAAGGTAATATTTGATGACGACGGAGGCACGTGACAACGCTGAACCATCTCAGTAAACATCGAGATATGATTATGTTACTCTCCGACCGGGTCGCTTATCACAACGAAGAAAAAACAGACACAGATGGAAACATTATCAGAGGACAATTTAATGATAACAAAAAAGCTTTAATGATCATCTAGCACATATGAATGCATTAGAGACTCAGTCTCCTTGGTAGTCTCCCTCACTCGTTGAGGCCTCCCCACGGGTGGACTTGTTCCATCATCAGGAGGTGAAGTGTCTGTCATCAGACTGTGGCCAGTTCAGTCGGATCAACACCGTGTAACTTGCGATAGAGCAGTGGGTCTGGGCGGGGGTAGTCATTGACGCTTGGGTGGTGTTAGTGAGTGAGTCACTGGACTGAGTGTCCGACGCTGGCACAGAGCGAGAGGAGGCGGGGGTAGTCATTGACACTTGGGTGGTGTTAGTGAGTGAGTCACTGGCCTGAGTGTCCGACGCTGGCACAGGGCGAGAGGAAGCGGGGGTAGTCATTGACGCTTGGGTGGTATTAGAAGATCATGGGAACTACATCTGAAACGGGCTAGTGCTGTTCTGAATTTCTTAACATTAATGTCTAGAAGATATTTTCTGTGAGAATGAATGATTTAAAACACGAGTAATGGTTTAACTTATTGTGTAAACATAGTGAAAAGTGCCACTTTTGAAAATACATATCTTTTAGCCTTTGTGTTAAATCATATATAAAATGCTCTGGTGCTGTTACATTTTGTTCTATCCAGATGTAATCATATCCGCAAGACTGAAGTATCTTTCTGACACCAGAGGTCCAGTTATTTTTACTTCTGTCATCGTAAAGCATCATCATGTTATAACAATTTTTTGGGGAATCTGGTGCATGGCATTTTAAGCAATCTTATCCAATATTTTATTACTTTTATGTATGATGGCGTGGTTCTTTAAAATTTGAATAAAACCGCACGGATCACCGACAGCTTGCGAAAGCCACGCAAATCCAAAACCGTGTGAGCAAAGTATGTGACGGATCCTCAACTTACGCCAATATTTCATCGTTCGAACGTAAGACTGAGTGAGTGAGTGAGTGAGTGAGTGAGTGAATTAAGATTTTAAGTCACATCGGCAATATTTCAGTCATATTGTGACTAAACACAAGTTATAATTTCATAATAAATCATGGCACATTATGAAAAACAGTCGGCGAAGCACAGTAAAAATAAGTAGTATGAAAATCTAAAATATCTAACTATGAGAGACAAATAATATTAAAAAAACGGGCTATAGATCGCCAACAACTGGTGGTAGATCACATTATTAGGGACAGTCTCCAGGGTTCGGTCTTTACGCTCGCCCGCAAGCCCGAGAAAAAATGGAAACAAAATAGCACTAGTCCGGCGGACTACTTGTTTTTTTCAGTGATTATTCACCAGAAACTGCTATTGAGATCATCCATTTCCAACTCTAACCACCAGATTAGTGAATCCAACGTTGCAGAACTCCAAGATAACATCGACATGGTGTCACTTTATTCAAAGCATGTTTAATTTAGTGGTCCCTCGCTATACCACTCGTTTTAGGTTGGAAAGAGCGTGCAAAAACTGACAATTTTAGTTATCGATATCCACACCTTCTGTTCATTGCAACTGGCCCCGAAAAGAGCATAACTATCTGACAATATTATAGCCTCACACCAACTGCCTCTCATAGCATCTGGCAATTTTAGTGATCCATTTCCACACTTTCAGTTATTTACTACTGGCCCCGATAGAGTATAACTGTCTGATACAAACGTCCCTCATAACATGCTTTGGCAGCGGGTCCACATCAAAGTTGTCAAAGAGCAAAGTAACGATGTTTCGAGGAATTCATTAAATAATAAATTGAATACGCTAAAGAATAAAATCAACAACAGTACTCATAAAAGTTGTCAAACGTACGTTAAAGTTACTACTTCCATCTTTTTTGTGCGAACGTGTAATCTAAGTCGAGTGACATCTCGGCTTTCGTCGCCTGGAACTTCACGCTCGAGAACGATGTTTAATGCTAAAATATATGCCTGAAGCATTTTTGTCATAACCTAGCACGATACGTCCACTAAGTTCCATCATTACGTATATTTAACATTCAGAATACTATGATTTTACCCCCAACTTTCGTCTAAGTCTAACAGTTTTCGTTTACGAGGAAGGTATCTATTGCTGTAATATGATTGGTTGCCTTTGGTCACGTGCATGATTTTGACCAATCACGATCCTTATAACAGACTGTGGCAAAAAAGCGTCATTAGAAACCAATCTTTATCCAAAAAAATCGCTTCTTACAACCGTGAGAATGCTCTTGGCAAGGGTACAGCGATGTTGTCGATGTTCAGAGCTTTCGAACCATCAAACGAAAAGCCCTACAGGTTATTCATACGAAGCTTCGAAAACGGAAGAATTCCCCGTTGTTGTGTCATGTTACCAAGCGGAAAGCCACTGACGTCGGGAAATAGACGACCGTACATATTGTTTCAGAAATCTTTTTATAATAACTTTCCGATTACGTAAACATGAGAATATAACAGAAAACGTTTAGGGGATATTATGTTATGTTACAAATGGAACAAATCGCCGCATCGTTTGCTTCCTTCGTGGTTTATCTGGACATTATAAACGTGTAACCTTGCATTTTCATTAAAAATGAACTTATTTTAGTTGTAGTTGTATTATTTGAAAAATATGATAAAAACTGCGCTATCTAATCATTATCCCTCTGCATTTTCTAGTAACATCTTCAATTATTAAACAATCTCTGATTGGACAAAGTTCAATTTATGCTCGAGTTCAATTAAACAAATTGTTTATTGTCTTTATTCCAGAAAATGTTCAAAATGGACAGGACATATTTGAGTGCAGATGTTCTGACGTATTTTACACCTGGGGGATTTCGTTTGGGGTTGTGTATTTATATTCAGAAGAACCATCCCTCACGTGACCAAGTCTGTTTAATCAATTTTATGCATTGTTTCCATCATGTAATCAGGTTGCCTAAATCTCCAACACTTACCCAGAACGGAATAAACCATAAGTGAACATTCTACATATCATGTTGCTCCTCTTAATCATGTTGCATTTTGAATTGGTAAATTGATAAGTTTAATTGTCAGATTATGTAACTTGCAACAGTTAGCTATCATACATACTAACGCCAAGTTTTGTTAAATAATAAATTTTAAATATATTTCAAATGCCCAAAAGCCACATGTCAACTCCAATCCGTTATTTTCCAGTTGCTGTGGACCCTTACATTCAGTCGTTCAACGCTACTGCAATTGCACTATTGATTTATATTCACAACTGATATCCTCTGAAAAGATTTCAAGTGCAGTTAAGGGTACGATTACATTCGGACCATGTGACTACGTGGTGTTCGGGCTCATGCTTGCTGGGTCCACCCTCATTGGGATTTACTACGCCGTGATGACTCGCAAAGGACGCAGTACAAACGAATATCTTGTCGCCAGCAATTCTAAGACATTCCTTCCAGTAGCGCTGTCCTTAATAGCGACGTCGGAGTCGTCGGTGATGATGTTGGGATCGCCAGCCGAGTCGTATGCCTTTGGAATTGAGCTTATCCTTGATGAGATTTGAAATGCAGTTGGAACCATCATTGAAGTCATTGTGACTCTGACTTTCCTCAAAAGGCTGAATCTGTCAACACCATTTGAGGTAAGGCGTCAAGTGCCCAATTGTTGAAAGACTTTATACTCATGTTTCATCAGTTATAGATTCACAAAATATGCACAGAACAGAAATGTTTAATGTTTCCTGATATAATATAATCACACTAAGAAAAACAGGGAACCACAATAGTTGTTGCTTCCTTTGCAGTTCTCCGAAAGACGATTTCGATTATGCCATGAATAATGTTAATTTCAGATATAATATTCATTCCTGAGTTCTAGGCATAAAACCAGTTAGAACTTGGTTATGGATACACTATATATTCGTTTACTAAATCAAGGAAGCCTAAGCTAGCCTTTGCTTCTTTTACAGTACTTCGAAAAACGATTTCGCTCTAGGAGCCTTCGACTGATAACTCATGCAGTGACGTGGC